TAGGCTTCAGGAAAATTAATGACTTATTTAATTTGGGGAGTGTAACCACTGGTAAATGAAACACGGTACACAAAGAACAGGATTTCGATTCCGTTGTCTACCTGACAGTTATCGGAAATAATAGCCATCAAGTAATTTTAGTTAATCTAGACATACTCAGTAAACTCTCATGTTTAAAGTTCATTGCATGTTTATTTCAGGCATAAAAATTGAGGAAGGTAACATTTAATCTTAAAATAAAATTATCTCAAGTATTCTGATTTTCGCTTCGTGGTTTTTATTAAAGTTGCCTTAAAAACTTTGCGTTGTTGCAAGCTTGAAATATTGTTTTTTTTTTGTTTTTTTTTGACAAACCTGAACATTCTCATATTTCTAGGTTTGATTCTAACAAAGCAGTGTAAATCTATTGAAGTAGGTATCACCACGAGATCGCTGGAAAATGAGCATAACAGGATAATAACGGACTTAAACTTGATGAAAATAATTTTTATCGTCTAAATGGTCATGTTATTATCAAGAGGAAAGATGAAAGTATTTTTTGATTATTTTTTTATATTTTTTAATAATTTCTAGCACGTCCAAAATTTTCGTTAAAAATCTTGTATTTTTTTATCAGTAAAATTGACAAAAAATCGATCGTCGGCAATTTTTTTAACTTTTGTTTAAAAAGCGAAATTTTCAGTTTAAAATTCGTTTAAAAATCAATTATGATTTTTTTTAATTAATTTAAGAAAATTAGAAATTATGAAGTTTATTTAATGTATTTTGAAACAAACATTACTTACTTTCTGCGCTGAAAAAATACATCCTAAGAAAGCAGTACACATCGATTGAAATTATAATGTGCAAAATTAAATTTTCTATTTCATTTTTCTAACAATTGCAATAAAGAAATAATCTATTAAAACGCTTAAGAAGTTTAAGTAATTCGTAACAAGAATATAGTTAATAAGGAGCATTAACGCGAGTGTCAGTTGTAGATCAATTTCAACCAATCACGCAATTCCGCATCAGATGTAAGCGGACCAAAGATTTAGCGCTTTATTTTGATTAAAAATGATGTCGTTTAAATTGAATCTAAACTCAATCCATCAGATTTAAAATAAACACGACATGGAAAATTCATTAGAAAATTCACAAGTCGAAAAGTAAGAAACAGACAGTCTCGTGATAGTTTGAAACTTTTGACTGTATTTTTCCAGTTAATAAAATTGGAATTCAGGACTTTTATTCTTGCTGGATTATGCTCGTCTCGAATATTTATATTTTGATGATTACTTTTGAATCCAATATTCTCTTCCTGGCGTTTTCTTTTGCATAACGAGCGAACATGCATAACAATAAGCATTTAGTATATTGAGGCACCATATCATTATTCAAATATATCTTAATAAATATAACAGAAAACGAGTGACTATTATGTTTGACTATGAGACGTCGTCTTAAGCTTCGTATAGTGACTTTAGTTTCAGGAGGAAATAAAGAGAAAAATTGTCCAACATTTGGATATTTTTTTTTTTTTTTTTTTTTATATTTGGATATTTTTATGCTGTTACTCGATCTAAGCATTCGGCTGACATGAGCCATCATCAGAGTAATTATAAGGACATTACAACAGAGATAAGATAATATTCTAAGATGATATTCTGTTATGTTTACATATAAGTTTGGTATGCGACGATATCGGTCGCGGAATAGCAGACGTAGATCGTAAATTAGTAATGCGATTCTATGACGTCGTACATAGAAAGAAATTTTATCAACAGACCCTTACACAAAGCTTAGAACGGCTCATGATCAAACATAATAGACATTCGTTGTCTGTTATGTTTAACAATATGTTTGAACACTAAGTATAGGGATTTGTTCTTTTCACTGGTTTAAGATTTATTTTTCAGCTTAATACGGCACAAACAGAACTGAAATGGCAGGAGTATTATGTAGCGCCGATATTCCATACGAGAAGTAGGCTTTGAAAAGTACTGTCTTTAATTTGGGATTTTATTCGGGGGTTTTGTGGAAGAAAGTGCAGGGGATTCAGAAAGAGTTCATTGATAATTTGTTGGTGAGAGCCTCGGCCTCAACACGGATGCCCACAAGAAGTGCCTTGAGGGAGTAGTTCTGCTATGAGTCAAGAGGATGGCTGTTGGAAGATCCTATGTCTGGAAACAGGACTCTGCACCATGCCACAGAAGCAGTAGAACCCAGTGATGACCGTGAGAGAATTTCTGAAACCACATCATCCTTTACATCTGGCCATCTAACTTCCCAGACATCACCCCACTTGATTATGTGTGTGGCGCAGTTGAGCTAAAGACCAACAAAACTGCTTGTAACGCCAATGAACCGAAGGCAAGTATTATGGAAGCATTCACTAACTTAAATAAGGAGACCGTCCAGAAAAGTTCCAGGAGATTCCAAATTCATCTGGAGGCTGTGTTTGAAGCCAATGTCGAATTTATTGAATAAATTTATTCTTCAGCATTTCAAGACATTTTTGTGCAATTTTGGTAAATATATCTGTTAAATTGAGAAGTCAGTGTTATTTTCATTTTTGAGTAATAGAGATGAGAATTTATCTATCGCACTCTGTATATAATAAAATCATAAATTTTATGGCCAATATTGTTATCAATTTGTTGTCTGTTTAGTCCACAAATTTCATTAAACGACCTATTATATATATATATATATATGTATATATAGTAAAAAGAAAGAACAGTAAGATATATAATCCGGTGTTCTTATTGATATTTTTACAAAACAGTGCTCAGTGTAAATTTACAGAGCATAAATATTATAAATGAACTGATTTTAAATAAGGTTCGTTTGCTACACAATAATTAGCATGTTTCAAAACATGTTTGAAACATGGTAATTACTGTGTAGCGAACGAACCATATTTTTAAATCAGTTAATTTATATATATATATATATATATATATATATATATATATATATATATATATATATATATATATATATATATATTTAAATATATATATTTATATATATATATATATATATATATATATATATATTATATATATATATATATATATATATGCTCTGATATTGAGCACTTATATCCCACAAATATAGCACACTTTATATATATATATATATATATTCGGCCTGAGCGTGAACTAAGATATGTCCTATTATTATTGAATTAAAACTTACACTGTAATTTCCTCTATTCTACAAATTAGAGCATTTTAAATGCATTGTTCTAACAAAACTCTAAAAAAAAAGGTCAAATAAAAGCACAAGAAGAATCGGATCGTTCTCATATAGAATCTTTTGAAATCATTTACTCATTTTGTTGCCCATATTATAACCTTTCAGTATACTTCGAACCATCATCTGGTGTCTGGGACATGGTTTGGTTTGGTTTTTGTATTTAATGGCATATCAACTTCTTCTGGGTTATTTAATACCGATACTTTATTCTCTTGTGAGCTTTGGTATTTTTTTTATTTTACTGTAAAATTTTATTGCTGTAATTTTTATATTTTTATATTTTTAGGGGTTCACAATTTGTCCATAGTTGGGACCCTCACAGGTTGGGGTCAACAGCAATTAAGAAGTGGTTCTACACTCATCAAAACCTCCTGATCAGAGGCCTTGCTGCCGGATGTAGTTTATCGTCATACAAAATTTAAATTTTAAGAAAAACAACAACAGAGGACACTGCTGGCTTGGGTATGTACACTGGATGCCAAATAGGATTCCGATGGTCCTCCTGAACGGGGAACTGGCCACCGGCAAGAGAGGCCGAGGACGAACTTATCTTCCGTTCAAGGACGTCTGCAAATGAGACATGACGGTAATGCACATGGACATTGAGATGTGTGAAGACATCGCCAACGATCGCTCACGCTGGAGACGCTGGAGTGAGAAAAAGAGAAACGGAGGCTTTCAGCTAGGGAGAAGCATGCTTGAAGGAAAGAAAACAACCTGGCAACATCGGGGGAGAGCCTCTTCGCATGCATTCGTTGCAGTCGAGACTGTCACTCCCGTGTGGACCTGTATAGCCGTAAATGATGCTGCGCCGTTATCAGCAGCTGAAGCATAATTCTTTGGCTACAGATCCATGGCCTCGGAACAGTACGAAAACCAGTGTTTCAACGTGGTATGACCGTAAGCCCTTATAGACGAAAAAAGATGAGATTTCCATATACATTTGAACAAGGAGTAAGTTCTATAGAAAATGGGAACTAGGAAAACACATATATAAAATTGGAAAAAGCTTAAATTTCTTGGACGCATTACAAGGAAAGAAGGCTTGGAAAATCTGATATCCACAGCCTATACTAAAGGAAGCAGAGACTGAGGAAAACAGCGAGTAACCTTCCTAATTGCTTTGAGTGAATGGGTGACCGAGCAGGACAAAGAGGGATAGTAGTGAGTCAAAGGTTGTCTTAAAATGGTACAAGGAATTATAGAAATCTATGATCACTTATAAAAGAGAAACGACATAAGATCGGGTCGATATAATCTTCAACTGCTAGAATAAAATTTGTGAAATTGGAAGTAAAAAAAAACATTTTCTGATGCGACTTGAACACGTATCCCGAATTCTATTTTTGAGGCGTTTTATCCAATGAGAAAATGATGTTTCGTATTGGCACTCACGAAGATTGGTGTTGTTGTTTAATGAATGTAGTGTTAAAAGTTCGTTGCAGAAGTAAATAGTTCATAAGATCTTTAGACCATCTAGACAAACCTACGCCTACAATCAACCTGTACGGTCTGATTGTATAAGAATTCACCGTAGAACAAAATACAACCATTGAAAAAGATCTAAAAGAGGCATGTATCTCTCGTCCTTATCCTAATGTCGTTCATTTTAAAGGCAAACATTGTTTCTGTGTCAGATTTTTAGTTTTTATTATACTTGTTTGCGCCGACTCTCAACGCAACGCCATTCGTATGTCGCTCGTTGATTTACCGTCTGCAAATCAAGTTAGTAAGATGCCTTTTGGCCATCGAGGCAGTTAATGACGAATTCCACGTTTGCTTTTACTTGTTAACAAGAAGTCAGCTTGGCATTGGGATTGAGCATTTGCAAAGCAATGAAACAGGCTGGAGATAGAGAGCGAGAGCGATAGATAGAGTGATAGGAGGAGAAAAGTGTCAAAGAACGACAGAGATAGAGATAAGGAGAAAGAGAGGAAAGAAAGATTATATGTAAAAAAAAAAAGGAAAAATAAAGAAAGTAGGGAAAGAAAGAAAGAAAGAAATAGGAAAAGAAAGAGTGAGAATGGGATAGAGAAAGAAAAGGTGGAGGGAACGGAACAGGGACAAAAAGAATAGGATGGCGAGTGGGAAAGAAAGAAAAAAGATATTTGGGACAGGGAAATAGAAAGAAAGGAAAAGATTATGGAGGGGGAGACAGAAAGAATAAAGAAAAAACTAAAGAAAATGAAGTGGAATAGATAGATAGATAGATAGATAGATAGATAGATAGATAGATAGATAGATAGATAGATATCAGTGAGAGTGACAAAGAAAGAAAGAAAGAAAGAAAGAAAGAAAGAAAGAAAGAAAGAAAAAAAAAAGAGCTAAGGGAACCTAAGACAGAAAGAATAAAGGAGAGGGAGAGAGAAATGGAGAAAGAGACGCGGGAGAGAGAAAGTAAAGTGATCGAAGAAAGAAAGAAAGAAAGAAAGAAAGAAAGAAAGAAAGAAAGAAAGAAATGGGAAAATATAGAATAGGGGACAGAGAGCGAGATACAAAAAGGGCAAGAAAGAGAGAAAAAGGAAGTTGGACAGGAAGAGAGAGAAAAAAGGAGAGAGATAGGTGGGAGGCTGTGGCCTTAAACCCTATTGCGCAGACATTAGTAAATTTTAAAATCTTCAATGTTCCTCAGTTGAGGCTGTTTGCGTTTCTGCTCACTTCTCCCTGCCTGACTCATGCTCATCCTCGTAGGCAGTGAATGGATATGTTTGTTTCTTCTAAGGAAAACATTTTCAACAAGCTCCTTACAAAAGAATCACCGAGTTGATCTATGACATCGTCCATTTATTCACCGTTATTTAAACCCTGCCAACTTTTTCACCTTTTTTTTTTTCCCTTTGTTTTTTTTATGTTTTGTTTTGTTTTGTTTTGTTTTTGTTTTTGTTTTTTTTGTTTGTTTTTTAGTGGATAGGGTGACTTTCCTGACTATAGTTTTTTTCTACTTTAGTTTTCTTTTTTCTTTGTTCTTATTTCATTTTATTCTAGAACTTTCATAAACTGAACAGAAAATAAGATATAAATAAAAATATATTAACACGAAAAAATGTGTATTTCGTAATTGGAAAGACTTTGACGGACAAATATAAAATGGTATTAATATAGCGAATTCCTAAACATAGCTGAATGTGGCACAAGGACGAAAGTAATGAGCATCCAGCAAGAATGAAACTCACTCTTAATTGATCTAGAGAGACAAGTGTGCTTGATTACCATTGCACTACGACGAAATACCGATATGGCATTCATATATAGAATCCTAAAATAATTGATTACAAGATTTTTTATCAGTTAATCCTATTAATAATCAAGAGAATTCTTTCTAAATATGTTTAACTTTTTTTTATTTGTTTAGTAAGCATAATTTTTCTAACGATATTTAGAAAATCTAGTCTCTGTTAATTAAAAAACAACATTTAAAAAACAAATCGTAATAAAGAAATGAACGCTGAACTGCTATGTAATATAAATTCGCCAAAATGGCAGTGGAAGCTGGATAATTTTATCACCGATGAAGAGGAAACTTGAGGCAGCAGAAATATGGTTCTACAGAAGGATGCTGAGAATATCATAGATGAAGCATGTGAGCAAACAGGGGCTTTTTAAGTAAAACGACAACAAAAACGATACATATTTAAAATCAAAAAGAAAGAGTTGAAATTTCTAGGACATTTAAACGGGTAAGAAGTCTTGGAGAATTTGACACTCAATTGACATACTGAAATCGAGAACAAGTGAGGAAAGAATAACTTATATAATGAACTTGTGTAAAAGAATGTCAGAACAGGGAGTTTCTGTTATAGTAAAAAGACAAATATTACTAAACGCTATAGAGGATTGGTTATTATGGAGAGCCATGATTAACACTTCCTTGAAGAATAAGCTTAATTCATATGGCACAAATCCAAATAATAGAAATGATGATAAATTTCTTTAACACCAATCTTCTAAGCTATGGATATTTTCCGCGCGCCTATGTCGCAACAGAATGTGGCGATGACATAATTGATTTCTATATTTCTGAGATGAGGTATTGTAATTATTTACAAAATTTACATTGTTCGGACTTTGTCCTCATCTTCATTGCCATATTCACACGATTCAGCCGTTGTACACTCCCGCCTTCTTCAGGTAATTGGAATTTCGAAGTGAACCCTTTATTTCGTCCACCAGGGTAGATTGTTCTAGCACGTGCCATGCCTCTTCCGGATGTCTCAGTATCTGTTATTTCAGTTTTATTCAACTCTACAAGTTTTTGTTCACTGACCAGTGACGTCACCCAAAGAGCTGTGAATACAATAACTGCCTACAGCACAGGTTAACAAAAACTTGGAGAGATGTGTTAACGGGAGATAACTGATACTGATTTAGGGAACCGACTTCCCAGAGGATGCTTCCTCGACCATAACAATCTAAGCCCCTTTAAGCCTACGGTCAACCGTTATCTATCCTATATGACTACATTATCAACAAAAGATCGCGATTCAGTAACCTTTTGTTGCACTTGGGCGTTTTATTGGATTAATCATCCCCCATCTTCTTTATGTGCCGCAGGACGTGGGTGACCATGGCCCTGCCTACCTTCCAATCTTTCTGAACTCTAATCAATAATTATAAACTTACTCTCACCCGCAGTTTCTCTTCTGGTATCCATTTACACAAATTCGTTAAGCTCCTCATATTTTCCGTATGCGTATCAAATTCTCCAAGCCCTCTTTTTCTCTTTGTCCCAGAAATTTCAACTGTCACTTTCTGATCCTCAGCAGAATTTTCCTTTTAGTTCCGCTATTATTTCCATGATCCGTCCATGATATTATCAGCTTCCTCCTGTATAACCACATCTACAGTGTGCCCAGTGAAAAAGCGGCAAATTTATTTTTCGTGAAAATACCCGAACTCTAATTGGTACATCTCAGTGGCCATCTAAAAGCCCAGATCTGAATGTTATGGATTACTGTGTCTGGATTATACTCCGAACTCACTTTGTAAACTGTCGTCGTGACATCGCAGATATTGATTCATTGAAGTGGAATGAAATTCCTTGTGACATTATCCACAAAGCTACTGCCTCCTGATTATCACGCTTATAAATTTGTGTTGAATATTCAGGCAAACATTTCGAATGATGATTGTTCAGTTTGTGAAGGAATTATGATAGCTAAATAAATGTCTTCCTGAATTTACTGTTTTTTTTTTCTGGGCACCTTGTATGCTGCCTCAAGTTTCCTTTTCACCTTTGATGAAAGTGCCTCGCACGCACTCCAGTATAGGACTAATTATTCTTACCCGTGGAACTCCCTTCCGTTTATTTGCTTTCCTGATAAATACAAACTCGAGAAATTTAACTGCAACGTCAATCGCCATCTTCTGTCTTGTTGAATCCCCTTCATCTTTTGTCCTTTCCTCAATCCTTCTATACTAAACCTTCTCTTTCATTTTCACTCCTTGTAACCCCCCGGTGTACTAGTGGCATTCCTGCTTGGAGTGAAATAATTTGAAAAATATAACATGGAACTGGTTAAGAGAGTTCCTATTCCGGTTGAGATAGTTCATATTAATTTCAAACGAAGAAAGACACATATCAGTTTCTTCGATCAGAGATTACAGATTGCTCCTAGTTATTACAACTTACTGTATGTTATTTTAGAGAGGTGATGGGCATCACTATTTAACGCACATTACCACGAGAAAAGAAGACCCCATCATGATAATGCTACACTCTACGACGTCATCATTTGATTTGATCTTTGATTCAGCTCAGCCGTGTTGAGTGTAGGTTTCCAAAGGCTTTTAGTCCAGTGACCCCTTTTAGTCCACTTGATCTCTCATCGAGCCAAAGGTGTGTACGAAAAATATCTATAATAATAATGTTGTTTATTTAAGAATAGATATTTCTTTACTCTTTTCCTTTATTATTTTGTTCTCGATGCAATTTAACTTTACGTTTTGTTATTCCTCATTCTTTTCCTCCATCTATGGGTTAAATAGCAGTTTATACTTAGATCTCTATCCTTGGATGGAAACCAATCTAATAAAGGGGAAATCTCTGAATTCTAATTTTTTTAGTGGGCCATTTCACTATCTTTCCCAGGTATGCATGACAATATACGGAATAATAAGAATAATGACATATAACTATAATAATATATTCTTCCTATTCAATCCCTATTTCTCACCCTATACTAGATGCGTTTGGTCAAATAATGATGATGAGAAAAATCTCTATAAATCTATCAAGCTCTTGATAAGAACGGTGGGGCTCGGACATCTTGAAAGCTATCGGTTTGGTATAAAGATCTTCCTCACAAATTGAAAAGTTATGGTGTCATAAGACAAATCTTTGAACTGATCCAATCTTTCTTGTAAAAAATTGTGAAATAAAAAATCCTTTCGCACTAATGCAGGTGACCCGAAGGTTCTATACTTAGTCCTACATCGTTTTTAAATTTCATCAATGTCCTTCCGGATACATGGTATCCATGCTGATGATGCAACCATTTTTTCTTGCCTCGATAGTACGCCTCATCAACTCGATAATGTAAAATTGGTGACTGATGTAAAAACGACCTTCAGTTTGTTGTTAAATGGGGCATAGGATGGCCTGATAATTTCAACGACCCCAAAACTAAACTGTTCTCTGTTAATCATTTGAGAGACCCTTTTCTGTTTTTAATTAGCATGGCTGATATTAACCATCAAGAGAGTGACTCGTTGTGCCTACTCGGGCTAACGTCCTCGGCTGACATAAAATGCAAATACTATATTGAATCCATTGCTAGGTCAGCTGCTAAGAAAGTTGGTCCACTGTGTCGGGCTATACAATTTTTCTTTTAAGAATCTATCTATAAATCCATGCTTAGGATATTGCTGTCAAATATGGTCCGGTGCTCTTGCTATTTTTCTAGAGATCTTTGATAAAAGAAGAATCAGCAATATAATTGATCCTGATCTGGCGTCTCGGATTCAGTCACTTTCCCACCACCGTAAAGTTGCCTCCCTGTATATTTACTATAAATACTTTCATGGTAATTGTTCAGATGAACTCTTCCCTATGAATTTAAACGCAGTACTATAATGGTGACGAGGTCTCCTCGATATACAGTTGAGTTGGCTCGATCTAACCGTAACTTCTATGCTAAAAAAATTCTTTTCTCTCAATTTTTGTTATTGGAACTCCCTTCTGGCTCCATGCTTTTCAGCTATCTTTAATCTTAAAAAAATGTAAATGCAATATCAATCGCTATCTACTGTCATCCTGATTACTCTTCTCTTTTTTCTCGCTCCTTATTAATGGTTCTGTTTACTAATTCTTCCACACTTTACAACCTCCTAGTCTTTTAGCGGCGTTACTGAATTAATTTGGGTGAATTTGAAAAAAGTTAGGTAATAATAAAGATATTAAAAATAAATTAATAGGTGTTTTTATTGAATGGTTGATATCATTAATGGGGATGTGACATTTGATGAACAGTCGCAAGGGCATTGATTTTTACTTGGAAATTAGTGAGTTTTATTCACCCAAACTCTTTTGATTTATTAGACAATATGTAGGGGAAAATATTCATGAATGGAA